CGTAACATCAAAGTGACCACCTCTCCTAGAGTCTCATAGGTACTTGACCCAGGGTTTGAGCTAGGATTTGACTATTTAGGGTCAATTTGTCCCTTTAGGTTATTTTTGGGGGGACATTTTCCATTTCTGAGGGTCGCCTAAGCATAGGGAAAATTTCAAACTGAACTAAAATTTTAAACATTTAATGAAATAGCAACAAGTTACATTGTAAGGTGGCATACTTCTTTTTATCTTTCTCTGTAAACTCTTAACTGTATGATTCTCTTACAACCAGCAGCTGATCATGGCCACTAAAATAATTAAGAAAGTGACTATTTGTAAAAGAACAAGACCAACAACTCTGTTGTGCCATTATCATTTTAACAATATCATATTTGTTCTTGCTTCCACATTTCATTGCATATCCTTCTTAGTTAATTAACATCTTACATGTACATGTATAATAGCAGTATTTCACGATTTCAAAATTCTCCTGTTCTTTATAGCCCACTCTTCAAGGGCTAATGAAAAATCAAAGTCCACAGAAGGTGGCCCCTCGATGTCTATGGTCATAAGTACATCTAACCTGTTGGCTTTTAGTCTTTTTCTCAATGCATTTTTAATCCTGTTTTGGGCACTGAAGCCTCTCTCACAACAATTTTGGGGGAAAAAGCCGCAATTTTGAACATTTTGTCAAAGTATCCAGAATTGGATGAAACACTACTAAAGTGGTTTTGGGAGAAGAAGAGTCAGGATAAGTCTAAAAGTCTTTTATTTTGAATCACAATTTTGTAGTTTAAAAAAACAACGCTTTACTCAGCCGATTTCTGTCAGATCGTGTTGCAATGTCTACACAAGCCGTGGGAATGACTGCTTCTGATTGGTCAGTTTCCGATGTTGTCAAAATGAGACAAAACAAACATCTAAATCTTGCTTCTCTTATCTTTCACAAAAATTGCTGTTAGCGTATTAATTCTGCGGCTAAAACCAAATTGTTTATTGAAAAATTGTGCCGTTTATAGTCGAATTTATGTTGAATTTCATCTCTTGCAATTTTTTTTTTGGGCACAAATACTTCAGTAAAATTTGTCGCAAAAATCGCTCGCTTTTTTAGGGGACAAATTGACCCCTGAATCATTTTTGGACGGGACATTTTAAATTTTATTGCGGGATTGGCGCAATGGCGCGGCCTGGCTCAAACCCTGCTTGACCTGACAAGCCCCTGCAGAGAATACAACTTAAGGTAACCTTTTAAGGCAAAGGTTCAGTAGTTCATGTGAGAACAAGGAACTGCTGATGTCTCCTCTTTAAAGGTTATGAATATTTACTTAGTGGCTCATCCACAGCTAGGACTCATTTTCAAACTTACATGTAGGAAACTGCAAAGGTGGACATTATTTGTGAGCATTTCAAATGCTGCAATATTTTTGTAGTTCAGCAGCTCATCAGCTTAGCAGTCTGCTTAGTAAGTTAATATAAAAAATTTAAAGGCATATCACCAGTTAGGGCAAGTTTTATTCAGACAGATGTAACCTTCATTGCTATTTTTACACAGGCTGATTAACAAGAAATTCTCTGGATAGAGTAGGATAAAAATATGTTTGAACAAAGTAACTGCAAACCATTGACATTAGAGAATCTCTGCCTGCGAATTTGAACCAGTATCTCTCTTACAGTGGTAGCATTCTTTCTCTACTAATTTTCAAGTGGAAGCCCTTGCTCATTTCTTTTCTAATTGACAATGTTCCTGGTAACTTTTGGTTAGGACCAGTGGAAGAAAAGGAAAATCTGTGTAAAAGGAAGTTTAAGGGCAAACATTCTGCTGTGCCTTTACAGCATTTTTTCAAAACCTAAATTATATACTAAACCACTGATTTAATCAATCAAATAAAAATTACAGATTTATGCTAACCTTCCTTCTACAAAACTTCCAAATACTATCCTAGAAGCTCTTTCTAAGGGAATACTCGGGTATAAAAATTTTTTTCTCAGAGCATCCAGAAACACACCACATTTCCTTTGAAGTTTAGCTTTTCCTCCATCAGAAAGAAGCTTCAGCTTTAAAGTATGACATTGTTTAACAACTCCTAAGAGCTGTAAATAAAACAAAGTGAAAAAGCTAACGTCTCAAATCATTTCTTACAGACAGATGCTCAGCTCATGGTAACTACAAGCAATTGTTTGCTCCCTAAATTCCTGTTTCTCTTACAGAAATCAAGACCACTTTCCAAAGGAAAAAAATACCTAAACGAATAAACAAAACTTGAAAACCAGTCCTTGCAGATTTTTTAAAATTTAAGATAAGTGTAGAAAGTAGCTCCTTGATTTCTTCCAAACACTGACATTAACTTTCTGCCAATAATATCTAAAAACATGCAGCCATCCTCACATTCATGTGCACAGAGTGGTAATGCATTCACTTTGGTTTTATCTTATTTTCTCCTTTTTTCTCTGGTCCTAATTATAAAAGGAATAGATTTATCGAGGCTAATGGGATGAAATTAGGAATGGAGTGTATCCAGTGTCTGTGTTTCCACTGTAAACACAAAATAATATTGTTTACGACACTCAAAAACAGACTTCAGACTTCAGCCTTTCTGAGACGTAAAGAACCTTACTTAAATTGATTCTCTTTTTAACTGAAAAAATTACTTGCTTGCAAGTTAACAGATGAATGAATGGTAGGCACGAAGAATGACTGTACAATGTTCATATGTATGTAAGCCTTTTCAGTAATTCGGAATGTAAAACCTTTTTCTTGAAATCATTGAAATCATCAAAAAGCCACGATATTTGCTTCGCTTTGGATTTCCTCTCTTATTTTGGCATTCTTTCAAAATTTAATGAACGCTAGCTGATGTAAAATAGTTATTACTGAAAGTACCACCGTAATTAAAAATTCGAATAGGAAGAAAACTTCCGCACGGTTTAATATCTTGGTTCTTGCTCAACTTTCCACAATACTGGATAGTCCTTTACTGACTGACATACCGCAAAAGAAGCAAACTGAAAAATGTCTTATTTCATTGTAAACAGTCTTTTCAGTTCTGTGTTCTTATTTTTTTGCGGGCTAATTGACAAACTGATTTTAAACGCCGAGAAACTAATGTAAGGTGGTCCAGACTCGCGCCAGTTCTTCCAGAAACACAGCAAGAGGTTAATGCAAACAAGAAAGCGACAGCGATGTAAACAGCGAAATAAAAATATAACTGCAAACCGTGATATTTACACTTGTCGCATGCAAGAATTCAACGTAATTACAAATTACAAGTATAAAACTGATTTGAACTGACTGGTGGTGACTTTTCATGAGATAAACGTTACTCTTGTTCTATAAAAGCAAACGAAATATTGCACTCGCTCCGCGAACTAAGGGCGTAAAAATCCTTAAAACAACATCACAGTAACTTGAACAGAATAGACATGAATAATGACTACATATGCAAACTAAGATCACAAAACTTACGTGGTAATTTGTGTTCAACCAGGAAGAGTTACTCTGACGTACAGCTGCACTCAAATCATTCACTTGTTGCCTTGTCATTTTAACATTAAAAAGCGTCAGCATCTCCAGGTTAGGAACACGGTTGAGATGTTGAGTGAGAACACTTACTCCTTCACCAAGAGGGTTCCTTGACAAGTTGAGATGGCGCAGGCTAGGAGCCTGGTGCAGAGATCTGGCGATGACTGCGGCAGGTTTGGCTGTTAAATTGATATTAAAAAGTTCTAATACGTAAAGTCTGTCAGTGAAGATGATACGAGACACCAGGGTCTCTGTCAACTGAGCATCATTGATTTCAAAGGGTTTCCCATGAATACATATATGACGCAGAGCAGTGAAAAGTGGTGAGCAATCAGTCACCATCTTCATCTCTTCCCTTTCCATGACGATAATATTAATGTTACTCAAACAGGAAAGGCTGTGTGGAGTCGGACCAGTGATGCTATTAGTGTTCTTAGTCAAATATGAAGCTTTTCCGCTGTCGTGTTCATTCAACGGATCACCAACACGCTTCACCTGAGTAGACTCTGTTGTTGGCGAAATGAGCTCTCGCAGCACTTCAGTCGGAAAAGTGCCATAAAGGTTCTGTATTTCATAAACATAAACAATGATTTTTCTCTCTCTCTTCAAAAAGAACTCTTTCAAAGGACGACGCGGGAACTTCTTCAGCAAATCTGCGGCTTTCTTTTCGCCCGAACAGCTCAAAAAAACAGCATCTGTGTCCTCCACTACAGTGATAAAGTCTCGATAGCTTTTCTCAGAATAATCTTTTTCGGAAGGAAAAAAGATAGCGTTGGGTATCATGCCAGATTTCAGCAAATGTTCATTTGCAGTAACGTTCAGCTGGTTGGAATCAAGAGACAAAATACCTCCAGTGTAAGAGGGAAACACTGAGCAGAGACCTCGCCTCTTCTCGGCCGAACAACAAAAGTAGCTATGCGAGATAAGCCCAAGATAAAGTGTTTCATTCTCATACGACGCGGGTGGTGCAGTCTCCTGAAGCAGATTAATAAAATCAAGATTCAACAAAGATTCCTTTCTTCCAACAGACCCTACATGATGGAAAACTGCGCACGCGGCTTCTGTTGACAGCTCACAGGCAAATTTGAGAACTTCATTCATCTCAATGATGTCTACAAGTGATTCAACTTTGGAAAGGCTTGGAGTACTTTCTCCTTTAATCGACAACACTTCCTCTTTAATGTGCCAGGCTGCAAGGAACTCCTGTACGGATTTATGAACGAAATAGGCCCCTTTCTCAGGATTTAGACTCGTAAGATTGACAATCTGGAAAAGCCCAACTTCACTTAATTTTTGAAAACTTCTTGAAATATTGCCGGGGAGTTCGCTGCAGCGTACGTAAAGACGGTCTTGCAGAAGTGCTTCAAAGGCAGCCTTTCCAAGATTACTTAAGTCTTCTTTAGCTTCTGTTGAGGTCACTTTCTGAAATGGCATAGGCTGGTGACTTCCATCTTTGTGATCCAGCATAGTTTGAATGAATTGTGTGAATATATCGGCCCGTGATTTTGGCAGTCCGAAGTGATGTTTCTCTTTCCACAAAATACACAGCATCATCAGGAGGAGAGGTATTACTGCCATGTTATAGAGATCTCTTTTTTCCAGGTAGTGCATAAACTCGTCAGGATCTTGTTCATCTGCCAAAAATTTTCTCGCAAAGGTTTTTATTCGTTCCCAGCTTTTGAATCCTTGAATTTCTAATTGAACGTGGCTCGGGCCTCTTAACTTGTCACATTCAAGTTGACGCGTGGTGACAATGACGTGACAATCTCTTAGTTGCTCACCCTTCCAAATTGCAAGAATGGGTGAGTGTTCTTTTGCACAGCTGTACTCATCGTAGCCATCCAAAATAAGGAGCACTTCATCTTGATTGTTAATTATGTAATCATAGAGACTATCAACTGAGATCGGACCATCACTGGCCAGCAATTTAGACGCACGTAAAACATCACGGATGTTTCCCACGTCACACACATCTCTCAACTTAATCAGAAGCAAAATGCTAAAGTTCTTTAGGATTTCTTTTAAGGTTTTCGACCAATCATATGCAGCCTTCTTACAAAACGTACTCTTGCCAATTCCTGGCCGACCATAAACAAGCATTCGTGTTGGTTTTTCCTTGAACATGTCGGTGTAGTCTTCAAGTTCCTCTTTTGTCACTCCGCTGGGCTTCCTGTGATCTCTCACCCAATTCAAAGGTGTGTAGATCTCATTAATCTCAATGGAAGAGCTTTCGTCCCATGGAACGATTTTCACCTTACTGAAGGTGTCATAATAAGATTTTAGCTTCTCTTGGCACTTCTCAACATTCAACGGTTCTGAAAAATAGAGAAAACAAACATGAACTTTTATTGCTGGGATGAGTAAGCATACAACGCCAAGTTTCCAAAACCACACGAACTCTTGCCTGCAGAACAGACGCGAGTGCAAAGTCCGAGTTAAGTGCGAGGGGAGAAGCTCCAAAACAGTATCTTATTTTCATTTTATGATCCATCATTAATTTTCGGCATTGAAGCAGCTGAAGTAAACCAGGAAAAGAATAATAAATTGTTATGATAAAAGAATAAGGAGATATCTTTTATCGTGTTGCCACGAGCGTTGGACAAAAAAAAAATCAATTCCTCCCCAAGAATAGAACCTCCGACCTTTGGAGTCCGCGCTCAGACACTCCATTACTATAAGTATAATACTTATACTTATAATACTATAAGTTATTAAAACGTAAGCTTAATATGAAATTTCTTAGCTTGATAATTACAATACCTGCAAGCCTTATACGTTTATTTTCTGAAGGATCATCACTTTTACAACTCTCCTCTTCAGCTGAAATGTCTGCAAAAGGGAAAGGAAAGTCAAACTGTAATGAGCATTAAAACACACTTCACTAAATTTGTGAAATGGGTGACAAGCAGGAGTCGAAATAAGTGCAGATTGGAGATGAAAATCTCATGTGAGCCTGATCACAGTTTAAAAGAGTGAAGAGAAAATTGATGAACATCAAGAATTGAAATTCATTGGAACGGATAAAAGCTAAGATTTAGATCTCAACAAAGTTTTAAACCGGTCAGTAATGGTGAGGTATTTCGTAGAAAGGTAAACAAAGAAAATTTGGGTTCATCTTACTGCGCACAAGAGTCTGGACACGAAAACAATAGTTATGAGGGCAGGGGGAGGGGGTAGTTCATAACCGTGCTTAATCAGCGATTTGTAATACCTACAATCTAGTACAAAGAAAATAGATTTAAGACTCGTTAAACACAATGAAGATGCAGAAGTGAGTAATTTCTTATTAACCCTCTTTAATCTGGAATTTTAGAACGTTATCCATGACTTCAAAATTGGAATTAAAGCTACCAAAGTGAATTTGTTCCTATCTCAGACTTTTTGAAAGTTCTTTTTCACAGCAATGCGATTGAAAAACAAAGAATGCGTATGTTTTTCATTTTTCTGATATACATTTATTTCCACTGTTGGTCTTCATGTTCTCATCAGCAGATAACGATATTCTATACCAAAGACAACAAGCGTCTCCTGATGAATTTGTTTCAAGGCCAGTTCGTACCATTGCATTATGTATCCCTACTGTGCATAATTTTAGACGAAAAATGCACGCCCATCTACGCGAACGGAAGATTTCTTGTTCTTTTTTTTTTAACTCGTGAATTGCGCGCATGCGCAAGAGCGAGTTATAGATACGATATGGGGAATGGCATTCGCTCGCTCGCTCGCTCGATTGGTCGATTCCTGTAAACTTTTTTTAGATTTTAGGCTTTTGAGTGCATTTGATAGTTTTTAGCGAGCAGTAAACAGAAGAAATGGCGACCTTTGTTGCTAAGAATAGTGGTGGGGTGAAAAAGAAGCCAATGATAATCTTAAAAGAGTTTTTTTTTCGTTTTAGTTTCAACTAGCGGCGCCAGCGACTGGCAGGCATGCAAGGATTTACACTGAAATAACAGAACAACCTTCGTTTTTCATAAAATTGTAATTTACAATCCTTGAACTCGAAAAAAATCCGAAGATTCATTGAAAATATTACTTACTGCGAAGCGCTCGAAGTTTACAGATGTTCAAAAGCTTTTTCTGTTATGGCGTGAGATTGAGGACAAAATTGATCATTACGTTTCGTCGCGTGTGTTTTTCCTGTGTGAAGCAACGAAAGATGCCGGCGACTGACGAAATTACAAGTTAACACGAAAATCAGATAACACTTAAACAAACAATTTTAGCTACCGATTTTCAGTGAATTTTTAAAGAACAATTTTCTTTTAAGTTTCAAGACAATTTGAAGATTCAACATACATACAACGTACTAAAATGCGAAAGTTACACACCACAAAATTGATGAATAGGCCTGAAATGAAATTCTATCTTGTTATTGATTATACGTTGCCTAGCACGTGACTTAAATCTACCCAGGCGGAGATCCAAAATGACGGTGGCAGGCTTGGCTTAGTTATATCACTCAAAACTCGTTCCAGTTTGTCTGATTTGATAAAGAGGGAATCGTTAATGTTTTCATTAAGACAGTATTGCCTTGATTTTCTAATATTTACAACGAAAGAGAGTAAATTTCACTTTTCACCCACATTTACTTCCAACCTTTTCTTTTGAACCAGAAACAAAAATGATAGACGTTTAAAACACATGACATCATCCACCTTCTTATCCCAACGTTACTTTGTTTCTTTGCTACATTAGCGAACACTGAACTACTGCTCGTACTCTAGATATGACAATCAACCACAAAATTCCCTAAACCAGATAACATTAAACATCATGTGTCAAAATCATGTGTCAATTCACGAGTTTGCTCACAGAGCACTTTGATTCTCCCAGGAAGAAAAATTATGATCGCCACGTAAACGGACTTGGCGACCTACCCTTCATATCTATTGTTTGCAATCGAGCGAGAAGCTTGAAAAAAATATGTTCCATACAATAAGCAACTTAGGGGAAAAACATAGACATTCACTAAAAATGAAAAGTTGTAAGAGCACTTGTAGCACGTGCACAGTTGTATCGCATTCTTAACAAATGTTAAAAAAAATTGGACCAGATTTTCTCGTTCAACAGATAAGCTTGTACATAGCCTTGACGATTTTCCTTTTCCGCTTAAAAGTTTTAAGGTTTTCCCGCCATTTAGAGCCATTTCATTACGCATACCTACATATTACACTGAGATATCGTTTTATACGTGATAAGAAGGTCTGGGTACACAAACCGAATTTTTTTTTTTGAGTTTGGTGACCTATCATTTACATGTCTTTTTAAACTTCGAGAAAAATACTTGGAAAAAACTATCCTTTATGTAAAATAAATAGCCAGTGTAGAAAGACAGAGTCGTTAAAAAAGGAAGTTTGCAACGGTATTTCCTGTATCTCTGCATTCTAGTAGGTGAGCTAGTTGCTTTCCAGCAAACTGATATTGACTTAACTATTCATCGAAAAATTTGTCTCTGATGAAAAAAACTCACCAGTTCGTTTCTTAAATTCAATGGATTCCAAAGCCTAGAAGCTGGAGGAAATAGCGGCAACCTTACGCTTACAGTCGGCAGTTAAGTAGTGAGTGAATTTTACTCTACCAGAAAACTACATGAAAATATACAAACGCATCAAATGGTCTTCCTTCGCTTTGATTTGGTTACCCACAAATGAAGCGACACTTTCCTGTTGCGAGGTACTGTCAACCACGAACGCAGAAGATACAGTAGCCAAAAAGCATAGTGTCTGAGAATTAAAGGCACTATTCTTGTATGTAATTGTATATTTATTGAATTTCAAGATAGGTGGTATATTACCAGTCATAAGTTGCTCAGCTAAATCTGTGCGTTTAACCAATGGATGACACAGTGCATCATGTAGGATCGTGTATGTTGCAGTTGAGCCATTCCTCTCTTTCCAATGTAGTAACATTCTGTAACTTTTTTCAAACCATCCCCTATTCTCCATATGAAACGCCGTTAATGTTGGTGTGTCAATTTTTAGACGACGCCCGACTACCTTCCAATTTTCGAGTTTCCGCGAAAGCCACTCTAACTCTTCGTCGCTGGGAACTCCTTGCTCAACTAAAAACATAAAGACATCACAGCAAAGCATCAAGATGAGGGGATAGCGAGTAGTACGTATCGCATCTATTCATGCCATTTTGCTGGATCCACGCATTTTTATTTTACAAAGGCAGGGGGAAGGAAGATGAGGTTGGAGGGTGGGGGCCAACGGGCATGTTCATCGATGTCCTCATTTTACCTCTTTTCTTTGGAGTTAAGGCGTCACTAGAAGACCACTCTTCATCACGGCGTTTCACCTTTGACCGACGCGAATGTTTAGTAGAACCACCTGCATTATAACAAATGTAAAAAAAAAAGTTAATCACACCAGTTATTTTTAGCCAACAGATTTAATGTAGCAATGGACCTTTTTCTTTTCCTCATGAAACGTCTCCTTATGAATTTGTTTCAAGAACAATTCGCGCCATTGCATTATGTATCCCTACTGTGCATCATTTTACACGAAAAATGCACGGCCACCTAAAAGCGGTTTTCTTTTGCAAAAAGGAAAATTCATACAATTGGATGGGATAACTATAAAATTATCACCACTAATCGGCGTTACCACCAGCGCCTTTCAGCCAGTAAGAAAATCTGTCGTTGCCACGTAAACGGATTTGGTGACATATCATTTATATCTCTAGTTTGCAATCGAGCGAAAAGCTCTAAAAAACTCTTTTTCATACAATGAGCAACTTGGGTAAAGCCGCTCTAAATCTTCATCCCTTGCTTCACCACAAAAATAAAGGCATCACAGCAAAGCATCAAGATGAGAGAATAGCGGGTAGTACGTACCGCATCTATTCATGCCATTTTGCTGGATCCACACATTTTTATTTTATTTGGGGGGTGTGGGTGGTGGTGGGGATTAACGGCCACACCTATAAATGTGTCCTCATTTTACCTGCTGAACGAGTTTTTCTTTCCTTCGGAGTTAAGGCGTCACTCGGAGACGACTCTTCATCACGGCGTTTCACCTTTGGCGGACGCAAATGTTTAGTAGAACCACCTGCATGATAACAAATGTAAAAAAAATAAATAGATCAGAACATATTATTTGAGCCAACAGATTCATTGTAGCAATGGAGCTTTTTCCTGATGAAAAGCCACTCTAAATCTTCGTCGCTGGGAACTCCTTGCTTGACAAAAAACATAAAGACATCACAGCAAAGCATCAACATGGAATGAGAGCGGGTAGAACGTACCGCATCTATTCATGCCATTTTGCTGGATCCACGCATTTTTATTTTACAAAAGCAGGGAAAGGGAAGATGGGGTTGGGGGGTGGGGGTAAACGGGCACGCCCATAGATATGTCCTCATTTTACCTGCTAAACGAGTTTTTCTTTTCTTTGGAGTTAAGGCGTCACTCTGAGACGACTCTTCATCATGGCGTTTCACCTTTGACCGACGGAAATGTTTAGAAGAACTACCTGCATGATAACAAATGTTAAAAAATCATCAGACAACAACATATTATTTGAGCCAACAGATTCCCTCGGGGACGACTCTTCATCACGGAATTTCACCTTCAAATGTTAAGGAAAACCACCTGTTTAATAACAAATGTAAAAAAATAAGTAGATCAGAACATAATATTTGAGCCAACAGATTCATTGTAGCAATGGAGCTTTTTCTATTTTTAATCAAACGTGTCCTGATGAATTTGTTTCAAGGCCAATTTGCGGCATTGCATTACGCATCCCTTCTGTGCATCGTTTTACACGAAAAATCCACGCTCATATCTTCTGCTTTTTTTTTTCAGCCAGTAATCATCGCCGCGTAAACGGATTTGGTAACATATTAATTATATCTCTAGTTTGCAATTGAGCGAGAAGCTCTAAAAAACTATTTTTTATACGATAAGAAACTTGGATAAAGCCACTCTAAATCTTCGTCGCTGAGACCTCCTTGCTTGACTAAACACAGAAGGACACACAGCAAAGCATCAAGATGAAAAAATAGCGGGCAGTACGTACCGCATCTATTCATGCCATTTTCCTGGATCCACGCACTTTTATTTTACAAAAGTAGGGAGAGGGAAGATGGGGTTGGGGGGTAGGGGTTAACGGGCACGCCCATAGATATGTCCCCATTTTACCTGCTAAACGAGTTTTTTTTTTCTTCGGAGCTAAGGCGTCATTTGGAGACGACTCTTCATTACGGCCTTCCACCTTTGGCGGACGCAAATGTTTAGTAGAACCACCTGCATGATAACAAAAGTTAAAAAACCATTAGATTAGAACATATTATTTGAGCCAACAGATTCATTGTAGCAATGGAGGTTTTTCCTTTTCTTATCAAACTTCCCTGATGAATTTGTCAAGGCCAATTTGTGCCATGACATTACGCATCCCCACTGTGCATCGTTTAACCCGAAAAACATACGCCCACATATGCGAACAGAAGATATCTTGTGCTTTTTTTTCCAGCCAGTAAGAAAAACTGTCATCGCCACGGATTTGATGACATATCACTAATATCTCTACTTTGCAGTCGGGCGAAAAGCTCTAAAAAACTCTTTTACATAGAATTAGCAACTTGGGTAAAGCCACTCTACATCTTCGTCGTTGAGAACTTCTTGCTTGACTACAAATGTAAAGACATCACAGCGAAGCATCAAGATGAGAGAATAGTGGGTAGTACGTACCGCATCTATTCATGCCATTTTCCTGGATCCAGGCACTTTTTTTTTCACAAAAGCATGGAGAAGATAAGGTTGGGGGGTGGGGGTAGGGGGTTGACAGGCACACCCATAGATATGTCCTCATTTTACCTGCTAAACAAGTCTCTTTTATTTTCGGAGTTAAGGCGTCACTCAGAGACGACTCTTCATCACGGCGTTTCACCTTTGGCCAACGAAAATGTTTAGTAGAACTACCTATATGATAACAAATGTAAAAAAATAATTAGATCAGAACATATTATTTGACCCAACAGATTCATTGTAGCAATGGAGCTTTTTCCTTTTCTAATAAAACATCTCCTGATGAGTTTGTTTCAAGGCCAATTTGTGCCATTCCATTACGCATCCCTACTGTGCATCGTTTTGCACGAAAAATCCTTGCCTACATACGCGGACAGAAGATATCTTCTTCTTTTTTTTCAACCATTAAGAAAAACTGTCATCGCCACGTAAACGGATTTGGTGACATACCATTTATATCTCTAGTATGCAATCGAGCGAAAAGCTCTAAAAAACTATTTTTCATACAATAAGAAACTTGGGTAAAGCCACTCTAAATCTTCGTTGCTGGGAACTCCTTGCTTGCCTAAACACATAAAGACATCACAGCAAAGCATAGAGATGAGAGGATAGCGGGTAGTACGTACCGCATTTATTCATGCCATTTTCCTGGATCCACGCACTTTTATTTTACAAAAGCGGGGAAAGGGAAGATGGGGTTGGGGGGTGGGGGTTAACGGGCACGCCCATAGATATGTCCGCATTTTACCTGCTAAACGAGTTTTTTTTTTCTTCGGAGTTAAGACGTCTCTCGGAGAAGACTCTTCATTACGGCCTTCCATCTTTGGCGGACGCAAATGTTTAGTAGAACCACCTGGATGATAACAAAGTTAAAAAATCATTAGCTCGGAACATATAATTTGAGCCAACAGATTCATATTAGCAATGGAGCTTTTTCCTTTTCTAATCAAACGTCTCCTGATGGATTTGTTTCAAGGCCACTGAGTTTGTGCCAATGCATAACGCATCCCTACTGTGCATCGTTTTACACGAAAAATCCACGCCCACATACGCGAACAGAAGATATCTTGTGCTTTTTTTTTTATTTTTCAGCAAGTAAGAAAAACTGTCATCGCCGCTTAAACGGATTTGGTGACATATCCCTTATATCTCTAGTTTGCAATCGAGAGAAAAGCTCTAAAAAACTCGTTTTCATACAATGAGCAACTTGGCAAAGCATCAAGATGAGAGAATCGCGGGTAGTACGTACCGCATCTATTCATGCCATTTTGCTAGATCCACACATTTTTATTTTACAAAATCAGGGAAAAGGAAGATGAGGTTAGGGGTGGGAGTTGAGGGTTGGGGGTTAACAGGACGCCTATAGATATGTCGTCATTTTACCTGCCAGACGAGTTTTTCTTTTCTTCGGAGTTAAGGCGCGACTCGGAGAAGACTCTTCATCACGGCGTTTCACCTTTGGGCAACGAAAATGTTTAGTAGAACCACCTGCATGATAACAAATTAAAAAAAAAATAAAAGATCAAAACATATTATTTTTTAGCCCACAGATTCATCGTAACAATGGAGCTTTTTCCTGATGAAAAGCCACTCTAAATCTTCGTCGCTGGGAATAGTAGAATAGAATAGTGGGTAGTACGTACCGCATCTATTCATGCCATTTTGCTGGATCCACGCACTTTTATTTTACAAAAGCAGGAAAAAGGAAGTAGAGGTTGGGGGTGGGGGTGGGGGGTTAACGGGCACGCCCATAGATATGTCCTCATTTCACCTGCTAAATGAGTTTTTTTTATCTTCGGGGTTAAGGCATCACTCGGAGACGACTCTTCATCACAGCGTTTCACCTTTGGCGGACGCAAATGTTTAGTAGAACCACCTGCATGATAACAAATGTAAAAAACAATAACTAGATCAGAACATATTATTTGAGCCAACAGATTCATTAAGACAGTAAGAAAAACTGTCATCGCCAGGTAAACGGATTTCGTGACACACCATTCATATTTCCTGTTTGAAATCGAGAGAAAAGCTCTAAAAAACGTTTTTCCATTCAATAAGCAACTTGGGTGAAGACACTCGAAGTCTTCGTTGCAGGGAACTCCTTGCTTGACTTAAAAAAATAAAGACATCACAGCAAAGCATCAAGATGAGAGGATAGTGAGTAGTACGTACCGCATCTAATCTTGCCATTTTAATGGATCTATGCATGTATATTTTACAAAAGTAGGGAAAAGGAAGATGGGGTTGGGGGGTGGGGGTTAAAGGGCACGCCCATAGATATGTCCTCATTTTACCTGCGAGACGAGTTTTTCTTTTCTTCGGAGCTAGGGCGTCACTCGGAGACGACTCTTCATCACGGCGTTTCACCTTTGGCCGACGAAAATGTTTTGTAGAACCACCTCCATGATAACAAATGTTAAAAAAAAAAAAAAAAAAAGGTCAGAACATATTATTTGAGCCAACAGATTCATTGTAGCAACGGAGCTTTTTCCATTTCTAATGAAACGTCTCCTCGTGAATTTGTTCCCAGGCCAATTTGTGCCGTTGCATTGTGCATCCCGACAGTGTATCGTTTTACCTTTTTTTTTTTTTTTTTTTTTTTTTTCAGCCAGTAAGAAAAATTGTCATCGCCACGTAATTGGATTTGGTTACAAACCATTTATATCTCTAGTTTGCAATCGAGCGAAAAACTCTAAAAAACTCTTTTTCATACAATAAGCAACTTGGGTAAAGCCAATCTAATCTTCGTCGCTGGGAACTCCTTGATTGACTAAAAACATAAAGACATCACAGCAAAGCATCAAGATGAGAGAATAGCGGGTAGTACGTACCGCATCAATTCAAGCCATTTTGCTGGATCCACGCATATTTATTTCACAACAGCTGGGAAACGAAAGATGGAGTTGGGGGGTGGGGGTTAACAGGTACACCCATAGATATGTCCTCATTTTACCTGCTAAACGAGTCTTTTTTTTCTTCGGAGTGAAGGCGTCACTCGGAGACGATTCTTCATTACGATGTTCTGCCTTTGACCGATGCAAATCTTCAGTAGAACCACCTGCATGATAACAAATGTTAAATCATTAGGCAAGAACATATTATTGCAGCCAACAGATTCATTGTAGCAATAGAGCCTTTTCCATTTCTATTGAAACTTCTCCTTATGAATTTGTTTCAAGGCCAATTTGTGCCATTGCATTATGCATCCCTATAATGCATCGTTTTACTCGAAAATTCCACGCCCACATACGCGAACAACAGATAACTTCTTTTTGTTTTTTTCGGCCAGTAAGAAAAACTGTCATCGCCACGTAATCGGATTTCGTGACACACCATTTATATCTCTTGTTTGCAATCGAGAGAAAAGCTCTAAAAAACCTTTTTCCATTCAATAAGCAACTTGGGTAAAGACACTCGAAATCTTCGTCGCAGGGAACTCCTTGCTTAACTAAAAAAATAAAGACATCACAGCAAAGCATCAAGATGGGAGAATAGCGGGTAGTACGTACCGCATCTATTCATGCCATTTTGCTGGATCCACGCACTTTTATTTTACAAAAGCAGGGAAAAAGAAGATGGGGTTAAGGGGTGGGGGTTAACGGGCACGCCCATAGATATGTCCTCGTTGTACCTGCTAAACGAGTTTTTCTTTTCTTCAAAGTTAAGGCATCACTCGGGGACGACTCTTCATCACGGCGATTCGCCTTTGGCCAACCAAAATGTTTAGTAGTACCACCTGCATGATAACAAATGTAAAAAACAATAACTAGATCAGAAAATATTATTTGAGCCAACAGATTCAATGCAGCAATGGAGCTTTTTCCTGATGAAAAGCCACTCTAAATCTTCGTCGCTGGGAACTCCTTGGTTGACAAAAAACATAAAGACATCACAGCAAAGCATCAAGATGGAATGATAGCGGGTAGTTGGCTATTCATGCCATTTTGCTGGATCCACGCTCTTTTATTTTACAAAAGCGAGAGAGGGAAGATGGGGTTTGGGGGTAGGGGTTAACGGGCACACCCATAGATATGTCCTCATTTTACCTGCTAAACGAGTTTTTTTTTTCTTCGGAGCTAAGGCGTCATTTGGAGAAGACTCTTCATTACGGCCTTCCACCTCTGGCGGACGCAAATGTTTAGTAGAACCACCTGCATGATAACAAAAGTTAAAAAATCATTAGACAAGACCATATTATTTGAGCCAACAGATTCATTGTAGCAGTGGAGCTTTTTCCTTTTCTTATCAAACTTCCCTGATGAATTTGTTTCAAGGCCAATTTGTGCCATTCCATTACGCATCACTACTGTGCATCGTTTTACACGAAAAACCCACGCCCACATACGCGAACAGAAGATATCTTGTGCTTTTTTTTCCAGCCAGTAAGAAAAACTGTCATCGTCACGTAAACGTATTTGATGACATATCACTAATATCTCTAGTTTGCAGTCGAGCGAAAAGCTCTAAAAAACTCTTTTCATAGAATAAGCAACTTGTGTAAAGCCACTCTACATCTTCGTCGTTGGGAACTTCTTGCTTGACTACAAATGTAAAGACATCACAGCGAAGCATCAAGATGAGAGAATAGTGGGTAGTACGTACCGCATCTATTCATGCCATTTTCCTGGATCCACGCACTTTTATTTCACAAAAGCAGAGAGAGGGAAGATGGGGTTGGGGGGTAGGGGTTAACGGGCACGCCCATAGATATGTCCTCATTTTACCTGCTAAACGAGTTTTTTTTTTCTTCGGAGTTAAGACGTCACTCGGAGAAGACTCTTCATTACAGCCTTCCACCTTTGGCGGACGCAAATGTTTAGTAGAACTACCTGCATAATAACAAAGTTAAAAAATCATTAGCTCAGAACATATTATTTGAGCCAACAGATTCATATTAGCAATGGAACTTTTTCCTTTTCTAATCAAACGTCTCCTGATGAATTTGTTTCAAGGCCAGTTTGTGCCAATACATTACACATCCCTACTGTGCATCGTTTTACACGAAAAATCCACGCCCACATACGCAAACAGAATATATCTTGTGTTTTTTTTTCCAGCCAGTAAGAAAAACTGTCATCGTCACGCACACGGATTTGGTGACATATCACTAGTTTGCAGTCGAGCGAAAAGCTCTAAAAAACTCTTTTTCATACAATGAGCAACTTGGGTAAAGCCACTCTAAATCTCCGTCGCTGGGAACTCCTTGCTAGACTACAAACGTAAAGACATCACTGCAAAGCTTCAAGATGAGAGAACAGCGGGTAGTACGTACCGCATCTATTCATGCCATTTTCCTGGATCCACGCACTTTTATTTTTTACAAAATCAGGGAAAAGGAAGATGGGGTTGGGAGGTAGGGAGTCTACGGGCACGCCCATAGATATGTCCTCATTTTACCTGCTAAACGAGTTTTTTTTATTTTCGGAGTTAAGGTGTCACTTGGAGACGACTCTTCATCACGGCGTTTCACCTTTCTCCAACGAAAATGTTTAGTAGAACCACCTGCATGATAACAAATGTAAAAAAATAATTAGATCAGAACATATTATTTGAGCCAAGGAGTTGGGGGGGTTGGGTGGGGGGGTGGGAGTTGGGGGTTGGGTGGGGGGGTGGGAGTTGGGGGTTGGGTGGGGGGGTGGGAGTTGGGGGTTGGGTGGGGGGTGGGAGTTGGGGGTTGGGTGGGGGGTGGGAGTTGGGGGTTGGGTGGGTGGGAGTTGGGGGTTGGGTGGGGGGGTGGGAGTTGGGGGTTGGGGGTTAACAGGACGCCTATAGATATGTCGTCATTTTACCTGCCAAGCGAGTTTTTCTTTTCTTCGGAGTTAAGGCGCGACTCGGAGAAGACTCTTCATCACGGCGTTTCACCTTTGGCCAACGCAAATGTTTGGTAGAACCACCTGCATGATAACAAATTAAAAAAAAAACTATTAGATCAAAACTTATTATTTTTTAGCCCACAGATTCATCGTAACAATGGAGCTTTTTCCTGATGAAAAGCCACTCTAAATCTTCGTCGCTGGGAATTCCTTGCCTGACTAAACACATAAAGACATCACAGCATAGAATCAAGATGAAAGAATAGCGGGTAGCACGTACCGCATCTATTCATGCCATTTTGCTGGATCCACACATTTTTATTTTACAAAATCAGGGAAAAGGAAGATGGGGTTGGGGGGTGGCGGTTAACGGGCACGCCCATAGATATGTCCTCATTTTACCTGCTAAACGAGTTTTTCTTTTCTTCGGAGTTAAGGCGTCCCCCGGGGACGACTCTTGATCACAGCGTTTCACCTTTGACCGACGAAAATGTTTAGGAGAACCACCTGCATGATAACAAATGTAAATAAGATAATTGTAGCAATGGAGCTTTTTTCCTTTCCTAATGAAACGGTCTCCTAATGAATTTGTTTCAAGGCCAATTTGTGCCATTGCATTATGCATCCCTATTGTCTATTAATGTTACACGAAAAATGCACGCCCACATACCTGAACAGAAATATATCTGTAACCTTACGCTTACAGTTGGCAGTTGTGTAGTGAGTGAATTTTGCGCTACCAGAAAACTACATGAAAATAGACAAACGCATCAAATGATCTTCCTTCGCTTTGATTTGGTTAGTCACAAATGAAGCGACACTTTTTCAATTTCGAGGCACTGTCAACAACGTACATAAAAGATACATTGGCCAAAAAGCCTAGTGTCTGAGAATTTAGGCACTATACTTGTATGTAACTGTATTTTTATTGAATTGCAAGATTAGTGATGTATTACCAGTAATAAATGGTGCGCAAGTTGGCTATACTGTAAAGGATATTAATGCAGGTCGAAATTCCAGTAGGGATATTGCAAAGATGGCCGAAATGAAAGCAAACAGCTTGATAAATGTTCTCTTTCCTACATCAAAGAGAACATTACTTCCATTAGTGTGCATGGAGATTAAACTTCCTCCCAACTCGAATTTGCCCCAACGAAATATAAAGTATTGACCAGGTTCATTCCATAATTTTGAAATATACAACGTTCATCATTTTCTCAACAATTTCCTTTGATGACAGCGCACTCAACGAAGGGATCATGTGCTACAGAGACAACTCATTTCACTTTAACCAACCAGGTTTCATGTATAAAACAACAAATTTGCTCCAACATAACTTGCAAGTTCATGAGGGTTAGCATCCATTTCTAACAGGAATTTATTATAGGATTACTCTTACTAGTATTGACAAATGTGAATCAAATGTTCAGTTAGCAATGATATTTGGTTTTATTAACTGAGTCGATAACGTAAATTGGCCTCTGTAGAGAGATTCTAAAGCTGATGTTTCGAGCGTTAGACGTTCGTTGGACCGATTGGGAATTGTGGGTTGGGTGTGGTTAATAAAATGGGGTTGGGATGGGGGGAAGGGAAGGGGGGATAAGGCTGAAGTTTCTAGGTGTATTATTGCGAGGTCGGTGGTCTTCTTCCCCGAGGGAAAATGCTATCAAAAGCATCCCACCATCAATCTTTTTAGAAAGAAAATAAGAGCTCCCTAGAGTTGAAAAATAACCTCAGATTGGTTTCCACTGAAGTTGAAAAATAACGTCAAGTTCCTTAAACTTTGTGTAACAATGAATTAAGGATTGTAGCAAACCCTAAGGCAATATTTGTAACCAAAAGCTAACACCCAAATCTGCATAAGACCATGATAAGCCACTTGTACTTTTTTTTTCCAAATTGCCCCTTATTCATATGTTTCACAGTGCTACCTGACTTAGACTTTGCTATTGTCTGCCTTTTATGAAATCTAATAGGACTCCTAATTTTTCTTCTCTAAGATGCCTTTATCAAACAACTGTATGCTGGTACAGACCTCAACAGAAACACTTCAGTCTATTTCCTGCCATGGTCTATAAATAGGCAACAGTTTACAGCAGATTAACTTAATCCCAGTTGAAATGTATGTTCATGAAAAAAGAGATTTCAATGACCAAAGTGCAAGTCAATCAATGTACTTGCTAATATTGAATGTGAAACCAAAATTTTCAAACTGAAAGATGAATGCAAGAGACACTAAAAGAAGTGCTCTGCTGGTCAGGTGCATTAGATCAGTCAACTAAAAGACCTCAGTTGTTTCCTGTCACTTTAACATCACTGCATGTTGTTTTTCCCCCTAGATTATTGGGACAAGAAATTACCATTGATTTTATTTGAGAAAAGAATAAAATCATCCTTAGCTTATTTAAGGTTTTAATTAATGAAAATTCAAGTATTTTATTATGTCTGAGAAAACAAAATCATGTCTAAAAATTTTATGTATGGTACCCTTCTGAAAGTTACAGGCTGTAAACAATTCTTATTTCATTTCATAAAACTTAATGTTGGCACCATTAACCCAAGCAAGACACTACAGACCAACCAATACACTACAGACCAAACAGTACACTACAGACCAAACAGTACACTACCGAGCAAACAC